CAATGGTTATTAGATTCCGCCGCTTTTAATCATATGACCCGTTATTGGCTTAATTTTACCTCTCTGAAACCGATATGTGATATGCATTTACAAGTAGCCAACGAGGCTCGTGTTCCTGCCCAAGGTTTGGGTACTTCTCATACTGGTTCGATTAAGTTACCGAACACTTATTACGTACCTCAATTAGTTCCTAATCTTGTTTCCGTGGGGCAGTTGACCAAGGAAGGTTGTGCCGTTGTGTTTAATACAGCAGGTTGTGTGGCGCAGGAGGCAAAAACCGGGAAGGTGATCGGTAGAGGGCATAAGCAAGACGAATCGGCAGGACGAATCGGTGGTGGATGATTTTTGGAGTTCGGCAGTTTTGGATAGTCATGTTAGTGGCGGTTGTGATACAGCTTCGGGATTCGCTGCGTCAGAATTTTTTGTTGATTCTATTGGTTTTTCGGTTCGGCCGTTGGATTTTTCTACTAAGTCTACTATTTGGGACTTGTGGCATTGTAGACTTGGGCATCCCCATCATGCTCGCTTATTGACTATAATTCAGAAGAATTCTTTGCCGGGTAAGTTGAATGCATTTTCTCCTTCTTCCGTACCTTGTGTCAGTTGTATCGAGGCCAAAACTACGCAATCTTCTTTCTCGGCTAGTACGACAGTTTATGAAGATCCATTTGAGTTGATACAAACAGATCTTCGAGACCCTTCACCGACTACCTCCAGTTTGGGTTGTCGTTATTTTGCGCTCTTCATCGATCATGCTACTAGGTTTACTTGGGTTTATTTTCTGCAAAATAAATCTGAGTTGATTACGTGTGCTACCGAGTTTATACAAATGACTAAGACACAATTTCAGAAGACAGTCAAGATAATGCAGTCTGATCCTGGAGGTGAATTTAGCTCAATTCCTTTGCTATCTTTTTATAAAACCCACGACATCATTTCTCAACAATCCTGCTCGGGAGTTTCTCAACAAAATGGTGTGGTGGAGAGAAAGAATCGTCACGTCCTGGAGTTAACTCGTGTCATTTTGTTCCATTCATCTATGCCGAGTCGATTCTGGGAAAAGGAAATTCCCACGGTTATTTATTTGATTAATCGTCAGATCACTTCTGTTCTGGTTGATCGATCACCCTATCAAGCCTTGTTCGGAAAACTTCCCAACTATAATTTCTTGCGTGTTATTGGGTGTGTTTCTTATGTTCTACTGCCAAAGAAAGAACGTAATAAACTACAACCCAAGACCGCGCGGTGTGTCTTTATTGGGCATAGTGACTGACACAAAGGCTATTTGTGCTATGATCCATCTGCTCGCCGGGTTCGTATCTCTTGTCACGTGGTGTTCCTCGAACAACTTATGTTCTATTATTCCTCCAGCAAGGAAGAAGATTTTGCCGCCCTTGAGTTTTTGGCTCCACTACCTCATTTTGAATTGGTTCCACCTGTTCGTTGGCGGCTAACAATGGAGATGATCCCTCGGTTAACTCACTTCATTATTCCCCACCTGGCACTCCATCCAATCATCTATCTTCTTCATCCTCAAATCATACCAGCGCATCATCTGGAGGACCTTCTTCCTCGTCAGCCGGAAGTTCATCTTCACCTGGACCTTCTTCTTCCTCGGCAGCAACTAGTTCCGCGGGGTCTGATCAGACTCCCTGTCCCACACCTGCTCCTACTCTTCGAAGATCCCTTCGTTCTACCATAGGTCAAGCACCTCTTCGGTTACATGACTACGTGGGCTTCTCCTTAGAGCCTATTGATGTGCCCTCATCTATTGAGAGGCTAAGGGTAATAACAACTGGAACAAGGCCATCGTAAAAGAAACATATGCACTTGAAGCAAATAACACTTGGGATATTGTTCCAAGATAGCCTGAGATGTCTGTTATCGGAAGTCGTTTGGTTTATACAATTAAGATGCATCCCGATGGTACAATGGAGCGGTTCAAGGCAAGAGTCGTAGCACAGGGCTTTCGTCAAGAATACGACATTGATTAAGACGAGACCTTTGCTCCTGTGGTAAAAATGCAAACGATTCGTCTCGTGTTTGCCATTGCCGCCATGCAGAATTGGTCGTTGTTCCAGTTAGATGTTAAAAATGCATTTTTGCATGGTGATCTGAAAGAGGTAATTTATATGGAGTGTCCACCGGGATACTCGAAGGGAGGGCCAAACGTGGTTTGTCGACTTCGTCGCTCATTATATGGACTTAAACAAGCACATCGTGCTTGGTTTAAGAAATTTCATGGCACTCTTATTCAGGCTGGGTTCTTACAGAGTGACAATGATCCTTCACTCTTTGTTCGGCATACTATAAGTGGTGTTATCATACTTCTTTTATATGTTGATGATATGGTGATTAGTGGGAGTGATAGTGCGGGCATAAATGAGCTAAAGACTACACTACATCAGGCGTTTAAGCTTACAGATTTGGGTGATGTATCTTACTTCTTGGGCCGAGAGGTTCAGCGTTCTTCCTCTGGACTGTTCATGTGCCAAAAAATATATATAGCTGATCTCTTGGCTACCTCGCAGTATAATGTGAGTAAGTCATGTGCAACGCCGATGGAGCAAAATCTGAAGGTCAGGAGAGATTGTGGAGAGTTACTCGAAGATCTTGTATCGAAGTATAGTGGGCAGTTTAATTTACCTGACTCATACTCGTCCTGATATCTTGTACTGTTCAGATTCTTAGCCAGTTTATGGGAGTTGCACGTTTGCCTCACTGGGATGCAGTTCATCGTCTTCTTCGATATCTCAAGTATACAGGGTGTCTGGATACTAGGCGATCTACCTCGAGCAGGTGTATATGGTTTGTTCAATCATTTGTTTCATGTAGATGCAGGAAACAGGATAAGGTGCCAAAGTCGTCAACTGAAGCTGAGTATAGGTCAATGTCAGAAGTTGGGTCAGAACTGGTTGGGCTGCAGCGGATTGTTCGAGAATTAGGTGTTAATAGCCGCATGACCATGCAGATTTATGGAGATAACACTAGTGCTATTCAGATTGCAATCAATCCAGTTCGGCATGAAAGAACGAAGCACATTGAAATTCATTTTCATTATATACGGCAACTTGTGGCAGAAGGTGTTGTGAAACTATCTTATTTGACGACAGAAGATCAGACTACAGACGTGTTGTCCAAGGCCTTGAGCTCGAGTAGACATTGGTATCATTCTTCCAAATTGATGTTACACGCCCAACATCAATTTGAGAGAGGTTCTTAATTATGTATCCATGTCGACTTAGGATTGTAATTAGGTTTTGTCTATAGAAACCTATAAATATTGTACCGTGTAGACCTATTGGCTTTACGCCATGATAATACTAAAAACCTGAGAGGGAGATCCTCTCCGTGTACTAGTGTGATCCTGACGATACCACGTTAAAAAACCTTGTGTGTTCGTGCTCTTCATTCTTGCTATTCGTTTGTTAAATTGACACCTATCTCTCTCTCTCTCTCTCTCTCTCTATCTATAACTGCAATTAACTGGTGCGAGCTCTCTTGATGGCACAATCTTCAGAAGTGCAATTAGTAGATGTTCTTGGTAAGTAACTAGCTAGCTATAAACATACATAATTTCTTTACCGTAACTGGGAATTTAATTAATTACTGGTCGTGGGTTGATGTGGATCTATCAATAAAAAACGAGGAAGCTAAAAAACGATGAAGCTAAACAGGTGCAGGAAGTTGGAGAGCACTCATCCTCTTCATCTTCCACATGACCACATCATCGCAACCTCACATGAGCAGGACTCTGAAGGGATGGCTACTAGTGTTGTTCTACACCTCGATGGTCTTGGTAATCCAGTCTGTGTTAGTCCTTTTGCTGCGCCCCTACTTTATCAAAGGCGGAAGCAGCAAATGGATGGGCGCCCTCCTCCAGTTCTGCGGCTTCCCACTCCTCCTCCTTTACTACCTCATCACCAAGCTTCTCCTCCTCCGCCACCGAAATGACGACGCCGCGGTGGTCGTCCCTCATCGTCGACCACCTTCCTACCCGGTCTTCGCACTGGTCGGCGTAGTGATAGGGATCCTCAGCGCATGAAGTGCATTCCACTACTCCATCGGCACCCAGATCCTCCCAGTCTTCACTTCCTCCCTCATTGCCACTTCCCAGCTGGGATTCGTCGCCTTCTTCTCCTACCTCATCAACTCCCACAAGCTCACCCCTCTTGTTATGGGATAATCCAAGTACCACATCGGAAATACAAGGGAAGGAACCCTTGTATATAAGTGTCCACCAAGCTCATTAGTACGAGGCCTTTTGGGGAGGATACCCAAAAGTAAATCCGTGCGGGCTTGGCCCAAAGCGGACAATATCGTACTAATGAGCGGCCCAATTTCGACAAGTGGTATAAGAGCTTGGTTCGGCAGATCCGGGATTGTTATGGGACAATCCAAGTACCACATCAGTAATACAAGGAAAGGAACCCTTGTATATTAGTGTCCACCAAGCTCATTAGTACGAGGCCTTTTGGGGAGGACACCCAAAGAGTAAAACCGTGCGGGCTTGGCCCAAAGCGGACAATATCGTACTAATGAGCAGCCCTGTCATGACAAGTGGTATCAGAGCCAAGTTTGGCGGATCCGAGGCGGTGGACGTCAGTTTGGGAAGCATATCAAAGAGAGTTCTGCGTCTGGTAAAGTCCTTGTACCAAGAAGCCAATCGATACAAGGCTTGAGGGGAGGATTGTTATGGGACAATCCAAGTACCAAATCGAAAATACAAGGGAAGGAACTCTTGTATATTGGTGTCCACCTAGCCCAATTAGTACGAGACCTTTTGGGGAGGACCCAAAAATAAATCTGTGCGGGCTTGGACCAAAGCAGATAATATTATACTAATTGGGCTCCCCGGTTACGACACCTCCATCCTCCTCGCCTTCTCCGACACCGGCCCCACCTCGTCCTTGTCGCCCGGGAGGCCGGGACATCCCGGCCGTAAGTACGTGGTGGGGTTCGTCTGCACGGGGGCGTCAACAGCAGGGTACGGCCTGCTGATGTCGCTCTCGGAGTATACGTTCAAGAGAGTCCTAAACATGCAGACGATCGGGATAGTGATCAACTTGGTGGTCCTCGCGGGCGCGGTGTCGACGGCGATGGGGTTGGTGGGGTTGTTTGCGAGTGGGGAGTGGAAGCGGCTGACCAGAGAGATGGAGGAGTTTGAATCGGAGAAGGCGGCGTATGTGATGACGGTAGTCTGGGCTGCCGGAGCGGCTCAGGGGCTGTCGATTGGGATGATGGGTTTGGTTTTCGATGTGTCCTTCGTCTTCTCCAACGCCGTCAGTGTTGTTGCTTAGCCTTTTCCTTCGGTTCTGGCTGTTGTATTTTTGCATGATAGGATGAATGGGGTGAAGGTCGTATCTATGGTGGTGGCTGTTTGGGGCCTGCTTTCTTATCTTTACCAACAGTACCTGGATGATGGCAGCTCCAAGGAACAAAATGGGAAACAGTATTTCAATCGATGCAGCTATTGTATCCAGTTTATGTTTGGAATAAGGGTTAATACCTTGTTATGGCCTGAACTATGACCAAGTAATCAACTTTGGCCAGTGGTTTGAGAAATTAACATCCTGGCCCGATCTATGCAGCATATTGACAAAATTGGCATGGAGCGTGGTTTGACCGTTTGTTTGGATGGTCAACACCGTTGACCATTAGTCAACTGTCCAGGTCACTGCCATGTCAACATAAAAAAATTACAATTTCATTTTTCTTTTTATTTCATTTACAAAAATTGAATAATTAAAAAAAAAACAAAATCCAAAAATTTTGGCCCACCCATCCCCACCTTATCCCCTCACCTTCTTTCCTTTTCGATCAATCCCTATTCCATCTTCTTCCTCCTTCTTCCCCGACGAGACGCCGCCTCCATTCCCTCCGACTTCAAATGCAGCGGCGGCCGGTCGTTTAAAGACGCCGTCGCCGCCGTCGCCCGCTTTCAATAAAACCCAAACACGAGCACCCATCCCCCTCGCCTTCTTTCGTTACTGATCTGCTCCCCAAAAAAACCCTAACGACCCTTCTTCTTCCTCCTCCTTCCCCGACAACCCGCCGCCTCCATTCTCTCCGTTTCAAATGCAGCGGCGGCCGGTCGTTTAAAGACGCTGCCGCCGTCGCACTCTTTCATCGCACCCATCCCCCTCGCCTTCTTTCGTTATCGATCTGCTCCCCAAAAAAAACCCTAACGTCCCTTCTTCTTCCTCCTTCTTCCCCGAAAACCCTCACCCGTTCCTCGCACGCTCTGTCCAAGCCTTCCCCACCCAAGACCAAGCCTTCCCCTGCCTTCCCCACCCATTTCGCTCTGTCCACTTCTTTGTAGGCCAACCATTCCCCACCCATCGATATTTTCTGTAAAAAGGCGAAGAAAGTGAGGTTCCAGGGACACCTGTAGCAAGGGACCACTTCGACAAAATCTTGGTTGTTATTCAGCTAAGGTAAGCAATCACTATCCCACATAATAATATTCTAAATACTTCCAAGAAATCAGTTTTGGTCATATGTGGATTGATGCATAGTGGACATTAAACAACAATAGTTGATTTGTCTTTGTCGGCTTAGTGAATTTAGCGATTTGTCTTTGTCGGCTTAGTGAAGTTTGCTTAGAAAAGTGTGTTTTCGATTTGTTTATGTGCAGAATGGAAGACCCGATTGAGCTCATTTTATGTCATGGAGGATATATGGATATGACAGGGGCTGTTCCAAAGTACGTTGGAGGTGATGAAGCTGTGGTGAACATGGTTGTCGATGTATTGTCCTATTTCGAGCTAACAAAGACTCTAATTGAAGATTTAGAGTATGTCTCCGTGGAAAGGCTTTGGTACTTGACTCCGGGTAAAAGTATGGCCACTGGATTGCACGAAATTCATTCAGACGCGGAGGTTATGAATGGATTACTCCCATGTGTAGCTAAAGGACAGGTGAGGGTCTACTTTGAAGCAACAAAAGACTTGGTTGATGATGGATTTATGGGTGACAACTACGGCCATGAGCATGATGGTTCTGATGAGGATGGTGAAAACTCGGCTGTACCTGAGTTTGTTCGAGTAGGGGAAGAAGATGATGCCCAAACATCTGATGAAGAGTACCATGAAATCAGGCAGAAGGTTCAAAACAGGAGACAGAATTATAGAGCTCAGATTCAGGATTCGGGTAAGGAGGTTGATCAAGTGGTATTGGAGGAGGATGAGGGCAGTGAGAATGGAGGGCAGAATGTGAGTGGAAGTGAAGAGCAGAATGTGGGCAGTGGGAATGGAGGGCAGAATGTGAGTGGAAGTGAGGAGCAGAATGTGGACAGTGGGAATGGAGGCAATCAACCATCTCAAGCTGGTGAAGATGATGCAAATAGTGGGGGATCAATGAAAACTGAGGGGTCGTTTGCTTGTTGGATTTGGGTCATGGATTTGGTACCAAAATCCCAAGCTTGATGGATTTAACATAAGTCCATTGTTTGTTGAAGAGTGCCAAATCCGTGGGGTCCACGGATTTGGTCTTTATTTTGGAATCAAATCCGTGGACCCCACGGACTTGTAAATCCCACATATTGATTTGGGATTTGCAAATCCTTGATGTTTAGTTATTTATTTAACAAATCCATCACAAATCCATCATCAAATCTATCATGCAAACATTAGACTCTTCAAATCCATAATCCAATAAATCCAACATAAATCCCAAGGTTTTTGTTGGCCAAAACCCTCATTTTTCAAATCCAACAAGCAAACGACCCCTGAGTATAGGGGATCAGAGGACTTTGCTCACGTTAGAGGCAACATTGGTGAACAAGATAATGTCGCCAAGTTCGACAAATCCTTGCTTTATGATTCTAAGTGCGATCATAAAGCATTGAAGTTTGTTCCTTGTATGCGCTTTAAATACCCTGAGCAGTTTAAGGCCGCTGTAATGAGGCAATACATTGTGATTGGTGCTGATATCAGATGGGTAAGGAGCAGTGACTTTAGGAAGGAGGCTGTGTGTGCGCAAAGGAAAGAATTCCGTTGTGGGTGGAGGGTATATGCAAGTTGGTTTCGTAAGCACGAAGCATTTATGGTTAAAGGAGTTGGAACAGCTCACAGTTGCCCTCGTTCACTTCACATTCGGGCAGCAGGTCAGAGGTGGATAGCAGAAGAATTTATCGAGACATTTAGGGCAAATCAGGGTTGGGATGTAGGCCTAATAGCTGCTGAAATTAAGCGGAAGTACAATTTGGTTGTGTCAAACCAAACCTGCTACCGAGCTAGGCTAGAAGTACAATAAGGTAACATAATGGATCAGTTCATTGATTTCATAGGAAATTACACAAATTAGACAACAAGCTTACGATTGGACAATCACCAAAACAAAAAGAAAGATAACTACAACGATTACACAGGCGGTTAGCCGATTTTGTAGCGCACAAATCGCATTTCGCATACTTTGCAATTCACCGAAACAAGCTGAATTGATCTCGGTCACCTTCGTCAAGTCTTCAAGCAGTGCCAACTTCTCCTGTTTCCTCTTCTTCGCCTTCTCTTTTGCCCTACGAAGTTGTCCTTCAAATGCCTCCAAAGTCGACTTTAGCTGCTCATTCTCTTCCATAAGTCCACCAAGCATAAAGTCACTCTCTGTGACTGCATCAACCTAGCGAAAAAACCGGCAGTTCTTCTCTTCATCCTTCCAATACGGGCAAGAATAAAACAATCTCCCTGGATTGTCGTCTGTTCGAGAAGTGTTGACAACGCAGGGGGCTCGGTGGAAGTTGCATCTTATGGGCTTCGTGCTTGACGAACCAGAAGAGGATGAAGCTTTGGTGGCAATTTTCCCAACTCGCCTGGACATTATTGCACAGAGGGGTCTGAAGAGAGCTCGAGATGGGTCTGGTAGAAAGGAAGAAGAGATCGCGAAAGGGGTCTCGAGCCGTTTTTGGATAGAAAGGAAGAAAGAAGGGAGCTCGATTTCGTTTGGGATGTGGAGGCGGTGGGTCGTCGGGGAAGAAGGGAGATGTTTCGGATATGGAGGCGGCGGGTCGTCGGGGAAGAAGGGATTTGTTTTCGTCGGAGGGAATGGAGGCGGCGTCTCGTCGGGGAAGAAGGAGGAAGAAGATGGAATAGGGTTGGGTTTGATCGAAAAGGAAAGAAGGTGAGGGGATAAGGTGGGGATGGGTGGGCCAAAATTTTTGGATTTTGTTTTTTTTTTAATTATTCAATTTTTGTAAATGAAATAAAAAGAAAAATGAAATTGTAATTTTTTTATGTTGACATGGCAATGACCTGGACAGTTGACTAACAGTCAACGGTGTTGACCATCCAAACAAACGGTCAAACCACGCTCCAGGCCAATTTTGTCAATATGCTGCATAGATCGGGCCAGGATGTTAATTTCTCAAACCACTGGCCAAAGTTGATTACTTGGTCATAGTTTTGGCCATAACAAGGTATTAACCCTTGGAATAACTAGTGAGTTCTCATATAGAAATCAGCCTAGTAGCTAGGTAGCTCTATGTACAAATGTTATACTCTATTAATCTAATTTAATGTGATGTGTGTGTACGATAATACCATTTTAAAGTTGGAGAAAAGATTGTTGCCTCAGGAGGTGTAACCATAATCTAATTCAAGCATCTTTTTATTTATTAACGTAATTTGTTGCTAAGAGTAAAGATGAAAATTTTGTATCCAATACATACAATTCAATCCAATACAATACAATCTAATTCAATTCAATCTAATCAATCCATCCACTTAAATATCAAACTAATCAAATTCACTTAGATCGTAACTGTACTTTTGTTTATTGAAATAAGTCTCTATTTTTTATAGTTTCCATTTGTTACCCAAATTTATTTTTTAATGAAAATATTATTGGATATGTTTGGGTAACTAAATGTCTTTAAAATGACATTTTAGAACCTAACCTTTTTGAAATTTATATGTTGGTCCATTGTTTGGATGCTACTTGATCTATATCAACTCAATCAAACAATCAATTTGATACACTCCAAGAATCCACCCATGGATTTAATCCATGAATGGTTTCCATCTCTATATCTTTATGCAAAACTGAAGATTATTCATGCAAATTAGGGATGGCAATGGGTCGGGTTAGGGCGGGTTTTGTCAAACCCAAACCTAAACCCATGGGTTTATCCTCCAAAAAAATCCGGGGTAAAACCCGTTGTGTTTTGAAAAACTCAAACCCAACCCAACCCGCTGGGTATCCGCGGGTTCATGGGTACCCGTGGGTTTTTGTGGTAAAATATTTACAATAACAAGTTTCTTTCAAAATAAAAGTTTAACATCAATTTTCTCATACAAATTAATCATGCAAAAAACACCAATCTAGAGCATACAAGCAAACTGCAAATGATCAATGCAAATTGTTCAAAATTAAAGATAAACATCTATAAACAATAAGATTAATTGAAAGCTTCTTTCTCGTCAACTAAGTTTCTTCACTCTTCACTTCATAATATCAACTTCATTCTAAACAATTAGAAAGAACAAATTATACATGTCTCCACAAACATAAATAATATTAGTTGTTTAGGGAAGATATATTATTTAGAATATTAAATAATATATCCGTGGGTTGGGTCGGGTGTGTACCCGTGGGTTCGGGTTTTGTTGTCATCCCTAATGCAAATGGTAATGGTTATCCAACAATGATTGTGTTTATGTACGCATGTTAGTATTTACTAAGTCTATTTTTTTTAAAGAATTAGTTTTGAAATTTTGGAATATAACAAATGGATGTCATTTGATAAGTGATGATCAATGCAACTTATTTAGAAAAATATTAGGGTAATATTTATTTTTTATTCAAATATATTTTATTTTTTTATATTATTCAAACCTATTAAAATGCTATTAATTAGTTAAATCTTTCGTAATGCATCAAAATATTAGCAATTTTTACATTATCGTTAGTAACTTTGTATCTCTTTTCTTAGTTAAAATACTAAAATTTTGAAATGTTGACTTTCATGTGTCTCTTTCAAGTTCATTATAAAAAAAAATGTGTCTCTTTGAAGTTAGTATCATATTGTCAAGTCAATATTGTCAAGTCAATATTGCTAACAAAATTGTTAACGAGACGTTAACATTTGGGTAATTCTTAATGAGCCCTTCTAGTGTGCTCTATAGCACCCATGCTATAAAAAAAAAAAAAGGTGACCTGTTGAGGAGGTAAACCCACTAAATGACTGGTCCCACATCATTAATGGCAATCTTGTAAATAATGAATCAATGTATACAAGTGTAGGTACAACTTAAAATTGTACCATTAGTATAGGTACAAGTTTCAGCTGTACCATTGAAGAATTTGTTTCACAAAGTGTAGATACAACTTAAAGTTGTACCATTAGTATAGGTACAATTTTGAGTTGTACCATGAAGGGATTTATTAGAAAGTGTAGGTACAACTTAAAATTGTATCATGTTATAGGTACAAGTTTGGGTTGTACCATTAAAGAATTTTGAGAAAGTGTAGGTACAACTTAAGGTTGTACCATTAGTATAGGTACAATTTTTAGTTGTACCATAAGGGATTTGTTAGAAAGTGTAGGTACAACTTAAAGTTGTACCATGGTATAGGTACAAGTTTGGGTTGTACCATAGAAGGATTTTTAGAAAGTGTAGGTACAACTTAAAGTTGTACCACTAGTATAGGTACAATTTTAGGTTGTACCATAGATGGATTTGTTAGAAAGCGTAGGTACAACTTAAAGTTGTACCACTAGTATACGTACAAGTTTGGGTTGTACCATAGAAGGATTTTTGGAAAGTGTAGGTACAACTTAAGGTTGTACCATAAGTATAGGTACAATTTTCAGTTGTACCATAGAGGGATTTGTTAGAAAGTGTAGGTACAACTCAACCCACTAGTATAGGTACAAGTTTGGGTTGAACCATAGAAGGATTTTTAGAAAGTGTAGGTACAACTTAAGGTTGTACCATAAGTATAGGTACAATTCTGAGTTGTACCATAGATGGATTTGTTAGAAAGTGTAGGTACAACTTTAAGTTGTACCATAGTGTATAGGTACAATTTTTAAAATTGTACCATAGTGGGATTTTTGGAAAGTGTAGGTACAACTTTAAGTTATACTATAACTTTAAGTTGTACCATAGTGTATAGGTACAATTTTTAAAATTGTACCATAGTGGGATTTTTGGAAAGTGTAGGTACAACTTTAAGTTATACTATAACTTTAAGTTGTACCATAGTGTAAAGGTACAACTCTAGAAAGTGTAGGTACATCTTAATTCCACAACCGTTATTTTGTCAGAATGATCTGTGAGAACGTTTGAATGGAAGCTGTGTGTTTCAATTTCACGTGAGATTTTGACGAGCGTGAGAATGTCAAGTAGAAGCCGTGAAATTTCCTGGGATAGTGAGAACTGCTCTTTGCATCTCACGGAACATTTCACGACCGTGAGATTTGCCTGAG